AGCTTCTCCTTCTCTTCAGCCGAAGACCATGGAAGAAGCTCTTGCCGGACCTGATGCGGATCAGTGGCACACTACTCATCAAGCTGAGTACAGCTCATTGAGACCTGGGATCTTGTGGAGCTGCCACCTGGGAGGAAGGTGATCAAGACCAAGTTCCTCTTGTGGCTCAAGACAAGACCTGATGGAGACACGTGCTACAAAGTCAGATTTGTTGCGAGAGGATTCTCACAAGTTGAAGGAGTCGACTTCTATGAGACCTTTTCACCAGTGGTGAAGCTCACATCAATTCATTCAACTTCTCTACGACTTAGCAGCTCACGGAGACATGCCCGTCGAGCACATGGATGTGACGACGGCGTTCCTGAATGGTGACTTGGAGGAGGAAGTCTACATTGAGCAACCAGCCGGATTTATTGCCAAAGGACGAGAGCACCTGGTGTCCAAGCTCAAGAAGGCCCTCTATGGCCTGAAGCAATTGCCTTGTGCCTGGTACGCAAAGATGAACTTGTTTCTTTTTGCCCTTGGCTTCTAGAGTCTCTCTGCAGACACTAATGTGTATATTAAGCAAGTGGTGCTGTTGGCTTTGTACGTGGACGGCTGCTTGCTCCTCAGCAAAAGCAAGAAGCTGATTCATCAACTGAAGAAAGATCTCAGCTCGAGATTCAAGATGGTGGACTTTGGGAGCATCAAGTACTGTCTTGGCATCCAAATCTTTAGTGACAGGAGGAAGAGAAATGTCTCAAAAGAAGTATATTGAGGAATTCTTCTAGAAATTCAAGCTTAGTGATGTCAACTCTGCATCAACGCCAATGGAAGTTGACATGCACCTCAGTAAGGACATGGCACCTTAGATGGAAGCAGCAAAAGCAGTGATGGAGAGGATCCCATACAGGCAGATGGTTGGCAATTTAGTCTACCTCATGGTTTGTACTAGGCCAAACATTGCCTATTCAGTGGGAGTGGTTTCGCAGTTCCTGGCAAATCCCACCCAGCTTCCAGCACTGGCAGGCAGTTAAGCATGTGTTTCATTACCTGAAGGGGACAGCCGATTATGTTTTGTGCTACACAAAACAAGAGCAGCCTCAACTCAAGCTGTGGGGATTCTCGAATGCAGACTGGGCAGGGGAAGTTGATCAGTGTAAATCAACTTCTGGCTATGTCTTCAGCCTGGGCAGCACAGCAGTTACATGGAGCAGCCAGCGACAGCCAATCGTGGCTCTCTCGAGCACAGAGGCTGAGTATATCGGGATGACCCAAGCAGCCAAGGAAATTCTTTGGCTCAGGACTCTGCTGAACGGTCTAAGCTACAAGCAAGGGGAGGCAACGGTTCTGCATTGCGACAATCAAGGAGCTATTGCCTTGACGAAGAATCCAAGATTTCATCACAGGACAACCACCAGCAGTGTTCGCGCGACACGTACAAGCTCTGGGCGTGAAGACAAGAAGTATCGCGAGCTCAACTTGAGTGGGAGTATTGAGGGAATATTCGTGATTCCCTCTTAGGTCAAGTTGACCCCGTCATGTCTGTTCAATAAGAGAGAACCCGGCAGGCCCCGGGTGTAGCGCCAGCAGCGGCTGGCATTCCAGAGTACACTTGTGATTTCCTATCCCGAATAGGTGTGAGACTCCATCACCTCCCCTCGCTGAGGTTTTGTACCAGCTTCAGAGAGCTCCAGGCACGGACCTTGTCTCGTCCGGGAGTGACTGATTCCAAAAACTTGCTGGTTTCCACCAACTCGGTAGTGTCAGATATATTAGATGACCTGGCGCTTCCTAAAGGTAAGAAAGAGTCTTGTCTTCCAAGTGACGCATTTTTTAGCTTCTGCCTTTCTTATATAAGGTCGGTTGGGGCTAGCGAAAGACAGGAGAGGGTGTCACCATGGGAGATAGAGCCATTTATTGCTCCCAATGTGACTCCCCCGGTTTCAACGAAGAGATTCACGATACTCTCTACATGCACTTTTAATTCACGGTTGGTCTAGTCAGTCGAAAGTCATACGACAATCATCTTCGTCAGATCCTACAGGCCAACCGTAATTTACATCTCACAAGTACGAGGCTGACGAGAGGGAAAACTTTCTCCTGAAGTTTCCTACAGCTCTCTATTCTGAGGGCTGAAGTAAATCCAAGATTGCCAAGCCCCGGAAAGGAGGGGCTACCATCTCATCATAAAGGCGATATGCACCAGCAGCATCTTAGGCTTCACTTATCAGCAAGCAGCATTAAGTTGCCCAGTCTACTTGTAGCCTCAACATATGATCTCTTCGAATGCTTCACGGCTTTTCGCCTTCACTAGCTTCACGGCATTTTCAGCTTCACGGCTTTTCGCATTCTCTATGGATGGGCCAGCACCGTCAAAGACAACGTCGACAAGGATCTCGAGTTGGAAGCTTCCGGCTTCAGGAAGTGTTTTCCTGGCCAGAACTGGAACCAGCAGCAGCAACAACAGCAACCAAGCAGGACGTGCACCAAAGTAAGATCTCATTCTCTATTTGAAGCGCCCGACTTTGAATCTCTTCTACTTTTCAAAGGTTCACAAACACGGTGCAATGGGACGAGCTTTGGACTTGTCCAAGTTTCGGCGATACACGCAACTCCTGGAAGAGCTGCAGCACCTGTTCGGCACTGACGAGAACCTGAACGTCCGAGTGGCAAGAAGAAAGAGTGCTAAGATGATATGCTCGATCAAACAACTCAAACAGGCTAAGTGCAAAACAACGGTCTAAGGAACTCTCAATGCGAAGGGAAACTTGTGAATAACAAAACTAACGATCTTTGAAAGTTGATGATACTTACATTCATGTTGTCAGGTTTGTGTGTCTTTCAATTTGTTCTAATTTCTTGTCAATTTTTTGAAAAACACAAGTGACGTGTTGGTGCTGCTCAACCACGATAAGAACGCTGTGTCCAAGAAGAAAAATGCTACGAGATTGGAGAGATTTTGTGTCAACGTTTTGGAGAAATTATCAGCACTTTGAGTTATGTTGTTGCTGGGCTCAATGCAAGACCTGGGAAACAACGTTTGGCACCTGCAATCTTCAGAACTTCAATCCAGCTGAAGGCGACAATGATCCAACCTCAATGAAATCAACGATCATGAAAACTCCGAAGGCAAAGGAATGTGCATAGCGTGAATTTACATGAGAGTCAACTCATATACTGTTTGTCTAACTAGGATGTTTGATGTTCAACGAAATGGAAGTTGAAGTTTAACAATGAGCTGTTTGTTCAACGAACTGGACAACACGCTTCAACCTTCCAGGTTTATGTTCTCTTTAGTGTTTCTCTAACTTCTTTTTGTTTTTGCAACGCCATGAAATTGCAACGGTGCCATAGAACAACGTTCCAGGGCCAGCTTAGATGGAAGTTTACGCTTTGGCAGTGGCAAAACCAGATGATCTATACAAAGCCCTGTGGTTTCCTTGAAAAGAAATGAATACATTTACAAAGTTGCAAACATATGTCGAGTAGTTATTGCAAAAAACACCAAAGTAGCTTGTGAGCTTCCCAGAGACGAGCGTCTGGGCGCTGTGGCAGCTACCTCTTGTAGCTGGAAGACCTCGGGCTCGTCACTTCCAAAACTTCCAAGCCGATCCCCTCTGGCGTGAGCACGAGCATCTTCGTGTCCTCCGTCCACGGCCGAGGAATTTCTTCCAGTCCAGTCGAGTGTTTTCATCCAGTCTTTGGTCCAGCCTTGCCACTAGCGTGCCTCTGGCTCCCTGGCCTTCGGGAGTAGACTCAAAAGCTCGAGCTCATCTCCGCTTTTCAGGTAATCGAGCTCGTGCCTTCAGGAGCATAACGTCTTCTGTTCGAAGTTGCAGTATCACGGGCAGTCTCGGTCTCCTTGGTGTACTGCTGGTTGGTTGTATCTCTCCACAAAACTCACAACCTTTTCCTGGATCGACTCAGGGACGTCGCCACCTTGGAGCCGAGACGCAAACGCGAGACTCTTTTCGCAGTCCCTAGAAAATGCTCCAGAACACCCGACGCCAGTTCGCCAGGATCCGGGATCGGACTGCTCCATCCAAAATGCTGGCTGCGACACGGTTAGCCTCTGGTTCTTCATAGCCGAGCTTGCTCAGGAACACTTCCAGCGGAGCCAGTAGAGACTTGTATTGAGCTCTCACGCAGTCGAGGATTGCCTCAGCCGACAATGGTGAGAGAGCTAGAGCAAACGCGGTTCAAGACGAGGAAAGGGAGGCAGTCGGCAGAGCTCCAGCACGTAGAAAACTGGCTGCAAAGTCGCAAAGCTGTTCCAGCCTGCGCGAGGAGTGTCTTGATCCTTATACCAAGCTTCCGGCGAAGTCGCAAGGTCGGAAGAAGGCCACTCGCACTGGCAGCGTTTGTCACCTCCGCTGTAGCGTCGTGGAGTGCTTTGTTAAAGACTCCTACGTAGTCTCCGGGCCTGGCTTTGGTTTCGTCCTGTGACGAGTTTAACGTAGACTAGAGCTTTTCTGCCACCAATCCATCTTTGACAAGAGACTCCATCTCCTGGAACGCGATCATCTCGGGGTATGTCCAGTGCGGCCATGGCGAGGAACCTCTGGAGCTCTTTGAGAGAATGCAGCGAGACGAGACGGTGGCACCGGCGGCTCAGACCTTCGTCGTGAAGATCAAGGCTTGCCGGGCCTTGGGCTGGCTCGAAAAGGGACAAGAGAACCACAAACAGGCTTCCAGGAGCAAGGTCGAGCTGGATCTCTTTGTGGCAAACAGCCTTTTGGACATGTACGCTAGCTTTGAACTCGAGATGTGGTCTCCTCGACGTGTGTGATCTCCGGCTACGCGCAGCTCGGCGATGGCGAGCGAGGCCTGCGCTGCTTCTTCCAAGTTCCCGAGCCTACGTTGCCGTTTTTTAAAAGCTTGCATCGCTCTCGCGATCCAGCAGAAGGGCCGGCTCGTCAAAGGCAAGGTGGCGAGGAGCGTCGCACTCGAGCGAGCGAAAGCCCGGACATCACCAGCTGGACGTGATCGCTTCCAACCTTGATCGACTTGTACGAAGCATGGCCGACCAGTGGGATCGGCATTCTAAGCTAGGTGTCTGGGTAACTTCGTGCGAGCGAAGCTAGGGCAAAATAACTACAAAGCGGCACTATAAAAAGAGAGAGAGAGAGAGAGTTATGTGGGTAGAAAATTTCCTTCTAAGGCTTACTGTTTCCAATCAGTCAATCGTCGCGACTAAGAGAAAAAGGGCAAACCTATGAACAGCGATCTTAATCGAGGGAGCCTACATTGTTCCAGGGAGCTCACAATTTCACGGCAGAGCAGGCTAGAGGGACGATTTGATCCAGGGTTTCAGGTTTTCGACAGGATGACCAACAGGAATGTGGTGTCTTGGACCGCGCTGATCCTCGGATACGCCCGAGGTGGCGATGGCGAGACAGCCCTCCAGCTCTTTCAAGTCGTGAAGAACAGTGGCATCGCTCCAAACGCTCTGATCACGTACAGCTCCGTGCTGAGAGCTTGCGGGAGCGTTGCGGCAGTGGATATCGGCAGGGCGATCATCCGAAAGGCGGGGCTGGAGCTTGAGCCAGCCTTCTCATCAGCCAGTCAAGTCCGGAAGCATGGGCGAGAGTGGTGTTTGACACAGCTCCGGTGAAAGATCTGGTAACTTGGCCGGGGGCGACGTCGGTCGAGTGCTGGAAACCTTCCACGCCATGCGCAAGGCTCGAGTTCCTCCACACCTTCCTCTTCATTCTCACGGCTTGCAGCCATGCGGGGCTCGTCGAGAAAGGAAGAACTTACTTTCAGCTCATGAAGTCTCCGGAGTTTGGGCTCTCTCCAGCGACGGAGCACTACACTTGCATGGTGGACTTGCTGGGACGAGCAAAGCGGCTGGACGACATGCCTTGCGAGCCCGACATGATGGCGTGGATGACGATCCTGGTGGCGTGAAAGCTGGAAGAGCAGCGTTTAAGGAGGTGTTGAGGTTCGATCGGGACGATGCGGCGGCGTGCGTTCTCATGGCGGGGATTTACTCCGCGGCAGGAATGCTGGCCGAGAGTTTGGAGGTGGAATCCATGAGAAGGCAGGCGAAAGCGTGCAAGAAACCCGGGCAGAGCTGCGAAGAAGTTCGTGGCCGTGGACTGAGCCACGACATCTCGGACGAGGAAAAGGTGGCGGCGATTGGATGCGCACGCCAGTTTGCAAGGACTATCACAGCGCCACGGTCGTGCTGGAAGAAGGTGGTGACGTGACGTGAGCCGGTCTCATGTCTTTGGGAATGGCCGGTGTTCCTGCGGTGATTTCTGAAGCTTTTGTATCTAGAATTCATGGAGTTCACGGATAGATCATCCCAATACACGCGTGGAAAACAGACTCGACCACTGCCAAACTTCCAAGAGCCAAGCGCTGCTTTGCCTCGATCCGCGTACCAAAACTCTCGAAAGATCCACGCCATCTCCAATAAAAATGGTAGAAGAAGCTCTGTGCAACCAAATCCCTCGTTTAGGCATGAACTGCAAAAACCATCTTTGATCCATGACACGATTAGGTTTTTAGAAAGGTGTGTCATGATCTCCTTGCATCTACTACCTTCTCTACCGTGGCCAGCTTGAGGACGTTGGCGAGCGTCTCGTAGCGCTGCTCGCGGATCATCCAGATCCGGAAGAGTGGAGGCGGCTGCTCGACAAAGCCGTCTTCGTCCACGTGATCACACGTCTCCCTCACGCTCTCTCTTGCCCAGAAGACTTGTGGCGCCTGCTCAACAAGGACGTCTTCATCCAGGTAATCTGTGTGTGTCTTGGCCGTCGAGTCTAACTCTTCAAGTGTGTGGTAGACAGTGCCAAGGAAAAGAGAGAAGCGAGCATCAACCTTCGGACGAGATCATCGACGCAGCCCGCGACTACGTGCTTGCTGATGACCGGCGCAAACGATCATACCTAGAAGATATGGGGCGAGGGCAGTATGCCTACAATAGCGTGGATGCTGCTGTGATGCCGAGGATGGCTGCCATCCTCGAGGACCCAGTCCAGTTCCGGGACTTCATCCGGAACGAGGAGGGGAAAATAGGAGGAGGAAACGGGTGGGCATTTCTGTGCCGGGACATCAAGTGCTACGAGCGACTTTGGTTTCGCTTGCTCGAGCTGGGCGTGTTTGTGTCGAATCAATATCCGGTGATGGAGCCGCCGCAGCACGATCTCTTCATGGAGTACATCTACATCGTCGACTTGGATTCCGGGACTTTCTCGGTCAGCGCCTGCCATGTTGTAAATTCGGGTACCTCCTGGAAGGTAAGCGTTTCTGGATTCCATGTCGGGAGCTTGTTCTTGTGTCTTTGTGTAGATGGGGAAGATCCCCAAGAACTGGTTTCGGCGCCTCCTAGTTCCAGTGCCCTGGATCGAGCTAGCCATTGCGTACTCGCCCGCTGTTAAGAGGATCGTCCTGGAGAGGCTCAACCGCAGTGAGAACTTTCTGTTTCGCATGGTGGTCGACAAGCTCAGCGCTCCATACCAGAGCTTCCACGAGTGTCTCAACATCCTGCAGCTCATCCAGAAGTTTTTGTTTGCCAAGAACAGTAATAATCTTTATGCCAAGGTTACTGTGAACCAGCTGGTGCGTTCACTGTCAGCAGTTGATCAGTCTCAGGCGGTAAGAAACTCTCCTCTTGAAAGTGTTTTACACAGATTCTTTGTTTTCTTACAGGTGCCACAAGAGGACAAGGATATTGAGGAAAATGATTTGGGGGAAGAGGGAAACCTTGCATTGCACACGGTCTTAGAGGTCCTGCTTTTTAGGTCGTGAAAAGTGTAATTTGATTCGTAAAATATTCTGTGATTTCTCTAATTTAGATTGCTTGGCATATATTCTAAAATAATTTGTTGTAAGTTGCTTGATTTGCTTAATTGTAGTGTTATTGAATAATCCAATTGATCAATCATATTTTGTGAGTGCTTGGAATATGGAAGAAAGGGAATATAGAAATGTGCATATTAATTAGCCCCAAAACCCTAGTTTATATACAGGAGCGAATGGTCCAGATTGAAACCAATCCAACGGTTACCAAAATCCCACTACGCTAATATTAATATACGACATCGTAATCATACACTTCGCCCTCACATCATCCCCTCCCCTCGGGATAATGGAAGACCATCAGGGTTCTCTTGAAGATGGGCCGGGATCCGGAGGAACGTTAGGAGGAGGCATCGGTGGATCTGTAGGTGGTAATAACTCCTTCTGATCCCTTTGTACGAAGTGTTTTAGCCGCTGCACATGCACAATCTTTGGAGGATTGGCCTGCTGAACGTCATGCCGAACCCCATAAACTTGTGGTCCAATTTGTCGCAACACTCGATACGGTCCTTTCCACTGCGCAAGAAACCCCTTAGATAAACCACATACCATAAGATGGGGAAAATGGACTAACACCAAATCATCCACTTTATACTCCGCAGGTGGACGATGATGGGAGTTGTAGCGCCGTTGTTGTCCCACTTGTACGCGGCCTAAGTGTTTGGCAGACTCTGCTCGGACAAGTGGAAGAATGCTCGTCAAATACTGATCCCATGATCTAGCATTGGCAGCACGTGGCAATCACGAAGGCAAACCCAGCTCCGTTGGTAATATTGGATCATGACCATATAGGAGTTTATATGGTGAAGCACCAACAGAATTCTACACCCCTGTAACATATGCATACCGAAGAGACGGCAAATAACCATCCCAATCCGAATGCTGAAAGTTCACATACTTCGCAATCATCCCTTTGAATGTCCGAATAAGCCGTTCCACCAGACCGTCTGATTGTGGATGATAAGCACTCGTGAAAGTGTGGCATATCCCTAACTGAGACATCAAAACATGAAATGCCTCAGCCATAAATGCAGAATCATTATCCGAAAGAATCCGCTCTGGACAAGAATGCTGGAACACCACTCGATTGAGGAGGAAGTATTCAACAGCAATTGCAAAGGCGCTAGCAAGAGCACCAACTTCCACCCAACGAGTCAAGTAGTCAGAAACAATAATAACATACTCATTGCCAGCAGTCGACCGTGGAAAAGGTCCCATAAGATCAAACACCACTAACTCAAACGGACAGGAAACCGTAATTGACTTCAACCATCCTTCCGCAGCATGAGGGGGAGTATTACGAGTTTGGCACCAAATGCAGCTACGCACATACCGAATAATATCACGTCGCATCTCCGGCCAATAGAAAGACCTGCGTAGCTTCTCGGTGACACGACGGTGTCCCATATGCCCATCTAGAACAGGAGAATCATGGTAGGCATGGAAAATTCGCAGAATAAACACCGAAGGCACCACCAGCTGTAAATGATCATTAGGATCCGTCCCCACAAAATAAAGAAGGCCATCGTCAAGGCGATATTGAGAATGTAAATGCCGGAAAGGCAAGTCATCATCAAGGGATGTAGGATTCTCAAACCCATCTTGAAGCCTTCGAATCCACAGCTCAATATTTTGAGCCTCACGAACCTCATCAAGAGAAGGTAGATCTTGCTCTGCACCTTGTGGACACTGAACGTCAAGGACAGCAACCGCTGACGGCACAGAATCCTCATCTAGAAAATCCACAGATGCTGGAACAACAGGTTCGTCAGAAACATGAGAAGTGAGTGGAGAAGGAAGAGGAGCTCGAGAAAGGGCATCAGCATCAGCCATAGAACTCCCTGGGCGATGAACAACATCGAAATCATATATCTGAAGCTTCAAAGCCCATCGAGCAGTACGACCAGCCAGGTTCTTCCGCTTCAATAATGAAGTAACAGCAGCATGGTCACCTTCAAGTAACGTCCGAGAACCATGTAGATAGGCATGAAGTTTCTCGAAACCCCAGACTGCTGCTAAACACTCTTTCTCCGTCGTGGAGTAGTTCATCTCCGCTAGTTGTAATGTACAGCTTATGTATGCAATGGGATGGCGCTGACCCGGCACACTCGAGCTCTCTTGCATCAACACACCTCCAAGACCAATGTCAGAAGCATCCACGCACAAAATAAAAGGTCGAGTGTAGTCAGGATATGCCAAAACCGGAGGAGTCGTCAATAGTTCTTTGAGATCCACAAACGCTCACTCACAATCCGGAGACCAGATGAAAGATGACGTTGATGACTTTAGCAACGCTCGCAATGGTGTAGTGCGATCGGAAAGATGATCCACAAAACGACCGAGATACTGCACCTTACCCAAAAAGCGCTGCACATCATTCACACACTTCGGAGTAGGGAACTTTAGAACAGCCACAAGTTTGTCAGGATCAACTTGCAAACCCTCACGAGAAATACGGTACCCAAGATAAGTTGTGTCCTTGGACCCAAACACGCACTTTGACCGCTTCAGCTTTAAACCAACGTCGTGTAGCCGATCCAACACCTTACAAACATCATGAACGTGCTCCTCCCACGTCCCCTTCGAGTGGATCAAGACATCATCAATGAAGTCAGCAGTCACCTCTGGCATATCGCAAAGAACCTCATCCATCATCCGCTGGAAAGTTGCTGGAGCATTGTTCAAACCAAACGGCATCACCAAGAACTCGTACAAACCAAATGGTGTACGAAAAGCAGTCTTAAGAATATCTTCTTCGGCCATCGGTACTTGCCAATACCCAGAAGCAAGATCTAGCTTGGTGAA